CCCCCCCCCCCCCCTCCTACCAGATCATGCTGGATCCATCCCTGCATGTATCGAACCACGGGACCATTGGTTTAAGAATATTTTTTCGGTTCCCAGAAAATATTTCCTCAACTAACTATGCCCATTTACAAGAAAGAAAATCACACATGGGACACATGATTTTCAAAATTTTCCAGGCAGCATTTATTGACATGTTCAAAACAAGATTTCAACGCGAGCAAATAAAACTTGTTACTGAAAGTTGAAACATTGTCACAGAAAATGTAAACTTTAGATACACCGGCCTGTACCATATAAATCGTGTCCATCTGAAAATCTATGAAATGTTATTTTAAGACTGTTCATAATATCTTGATTGCTTGCCATTAGCTTCCACGGGCGACCACGCCCGGCTGTCTGTTGCCAGGGACATTAAGTATGGTGAAACCTAAACGGAATTAAAATAATAGAGTACAAATTAGAGGAGTATATTAAATTAATAACTAGACGGCATTTGAAGACTTCACACGAGCGCCAGCGAATGGGTGCCATTCCAGCTATAGACTAAATTTCGATCAAGGCAATAAGAACGAAATCCAACACACAGATAGAAAGAGCGTCTTAGAATGAGTAAAATTACACAGATTGTTTTCTAAATGTTGTAAAATGAAGAAAATATAGCCCTGTGAAGTTCGAAAATTTTGTATATGTTTGTATTTGTATTACGCGCGGTAAAAATAACCACTTTCGGCTCAAGAATGGTTATTTTTCCCGCGCGTAATTCAAATATATAAAAAAATTTGCGAACTTCACAGGGCTATATTTTCCTCATTTTACAACAATTCGCAACCAAACTTTGCAATTTTACTCATTCTAAAATACTCTTTCCAGCTTTGGTAATGGTATCCGGCGTTCTTCTTGTCTAGATCAAAATTTCGTCTATAGCTGGAGTCATCCATTTTAATGTATGCTTAAATAGAATGAGCTGAGGGACCAGTCATTATTTATGGCGGGAGGTGCAGGCACCGAAGAGAAATGCATTTCTTGGTAAAAATTGTGCTGATCCAACCATTAAAAAGTTAAAAATTTCTTTTATCCAACCTCAAATATCAATAATAAATAAATACCCACCGGTGACCAAAAACTTTACTAAATGATGCCATACAGTTGTCACACATGTCCTTTACCACTTCTGTGACATGAGTTTGATAACTGCTTGTGCAATTTTCTGCAGTCTAAAGTTTCATGTTGTCTGCACATGTACTTTCTTTGGAGACACCATTTGCCTCCTGACAAATCGGAAAATGTTCAAGATGGTGACTACGACTATTGACATTGCTTTTTAGTCTTCAATATTTGAATGTGTCGTGCTTTGGAGACGACAATAAATTTTTATCACCCAACCCTTGAGTTGTTTCGTTTTTCATTTACCCAACCTTTTACTCACTCAAAATTTTGTTTACCCAACCCTTTTCTCTTCGGTGCCAACCACCGCCATAAATATAATAACCTACAATCAGGAGCAAAATGCCCCCCGCACCCCCAATTCAATGTTGTGTGGATGACTGAAAAGAGAAAATTCAATTCGCTTTTTCCAACATTGATCATGGGGAGAGGGGGGAGGCCGACGTACTTGAAACTGGCCAAAAACGTGAAAAGTGTCATTATTTTTGCTCCTGATTGTCTGAGATGAAGCTGTTTGGGGGTTTGCTGTCGAAAATGTTAAATTTTGCCAAACTCTAGCGATCATGTTGACATGAAATTGACATATTTCAATCAATTAACCGAAAGTTTTTTTCCCCCCAAAATGTAGAAATTCTGCAAGGAGGCTGCGCGGGGGACTGGGCAAGAATAAAGAAGCGTTTCTGACAAGTTTAATTTTTGTACTGGCATTACTTACTAGAGCCGAAACGTCTTTGGGAAAATAGACAAGCTGTAGGCTAAGTACGATCTATTAAAGTACTTGGCGACATAGTAAGACATATACAATAAGCCACAAGAATCTAATGTAGTGATTTTAACTTCTTTTACGTCCTTTCAAGCTCAATTAGCCATCATTTCCTGAGGAGGGAGTCATTGTATTACAGTTTCTCAGCTCATAGGCGTACCGGGCGGGGGGGGGGGCAATAGCCCCCCCAGTTTTTTGGGCAGTCGGGCAATTTTGGTTTGCAATAAAAAAAATGGGAAAAATTCTGTAAATTTTGTGTAAAATTAAGTCATTTTTTGGGCAAATTTTGTGATTTTTCGAAAATTTGTGTTATGTTCCGAAAAATATTGGTTGTCCGGAAAATTTTTTTGGCCCCTAAAATGGTACACTGATCGAAAAATTTTTGGCGACGGGGGGGGGGGGTCGACAAAATAATTTTTCCGGAATAAATTTTTCGGTACTAGTCTGGCAGAATCCCGAAAAGTCGGGCAATTTTCTTTCCGCCCCTCTAATTTTTTTCCTTCCGGTACGCCCATGTAGCCATATGACGAAAAATAAGAAAACTTTGTCATTTATACTGCAGTATGTGCTGTTGTGCTTGTGGGATGTTCACCAGCTAATCTAAAGTGATTAGTTTATGTAAATTTTATGCACTTGCAATTGTGTTCATTAAGCAAACACTGACAGGTTACACACACGTTACACTACACGTTACACCTACTTTACATAATAATCTATAGTAAATATATAGAAATACGACACGTTACACACATTTTTTTAAAAAATAAATATATATATATATATATTTTTTTAAAAACAATGGGTGTACGTGTGTAACGTGTCATATCTCTATATGTTTTGCTACAAATTATTATGTAACGTGTGGTGTAACGTGTGGTGTAACGTGTGGTGTAACGTGTGGTGTAACGTGTGTGTAACGTGTCTATATTCAGTACGTAAAAATAGATTAAGATTTTGCGCATCTGCGACCAGATTTGCTTGAACTCATCACACATAATCCCAAAATCATGGGAGATGGAAGTTCGCAATAAATTCTAGTGCAAGTTTACGATCGGTAAGTCCGTTTATCAAGATAAATAAAAAGCTTGAATTGGGTTTAAAATTTAGTGAGTATGTCAATCTCACGCAACAATTCAGCTAAAAGTAGGAAAATCATTGAAGTTTTTCCAAAATAGGTCTGAACGAGGCGTTGTCTGTTATAAAATTCTTGAACTTAAAGCAAATGTTCTGTTTGAGAGAAAAAATATACTCATGATTGTCAGCCATGGGGAAAAATTGCCTGAAATTTATTTATTATTTTATAATCTTCCCATGTATATATTCGTCAATTAATCGTCCTTTCGAAACAAAAAATAGCTATAGTTCTGAAGATCACCTATATTTTATTTACATGAAGTACTCAATTATAGAAAACCGCTGAGAAAAAAATATCATATAGCAAAAGGTTCATTAAGCAAGAAATCCAAGTCAGCGTCTTTCCTGGAGCAATAAGTTGAATGAACATGAACGAATTACGTTTCATTCAAAAGTACATATAGAGACAATCAGGAGCAAGCCAAAGCGATGCCAAAACATAAGCCTATTGCGAGCGATATTTGCTCAAACGAGTTTGCGCAAGCGCACTTGGTGTCATTTTACTTGCATAATCATAATATCATATATTACTGAACGCCATATGTCGACTGTCTCGAAGCGATGTCGACCAGAGAAAGGCTTTTATAAAATTGTACATCCCAAACATGAATAAGAACGCTGTTGAGTGTTGAACTATGTATATTGTACATAATAAAGTCGTTGTTCATATAAAGAATCAATATCCAAGCCTTAATGGTACAAATACAGTAAAATAGTTGAATGCTTCTCGACGTTTAGAGCAAAGCTAAAGGCCGTTATATTGTAGCAATGCTTGCAAACACTTGCTACAGTACAACAACACTTGCTACTTCTTGTTTACACAGACTTCAAAGAAAGGATTTCTATACGATTTCTCATGTGAATCATGTCCTTGTTCCTTCTCATTTTTTTCTTCGTACGCTGCATCAACCGGTAGCCAAAACCTCCGCCAAAACCTGATAAACACTGAAGTCGAGATCATTGTCTAACCTTTTCAATCGCAAAGTGACGGGGTCCAAATTGCGGCAAAATTTAACATTTTCCCACCAAAATGACCGCAAGAGCCCAGGCATTGTGAATCCGCGTGTACATTTTAACATTACGCATGGCAAAACAGGGTTACGACGCTTTACACGCGGGTCGCAGGCGCATTTACAGTAATTTTTATACTAAACAATGAAATATTACGCAACTTTGAGGCAAAAGTGACAGGGGTTTTTTTAACATCCAAAAGAAAGATTTACGACAAGAAATAGCGCTACAACACAAGGAGTCTCAAGCCGAGTGTACAAATTAAGAATGTTTTATATAAACCGAGAAATGAG